CTGCAGTAAATTCGACTTCCTTCTGTTTTGCCTGTTCGATTTTCGCTAGTGTTTATCATAGTGACATCCTTGAGGTCTACTCTGGCACAGACAGTTAAACCTTGTTTGGCGTCATTTGTGATAGCGACCATACAGAACCCAGTAATTTTGTATCCGGCTGGTTTACGGTGGTTTTCGCTGTGCGTCTCATGCAGAAAGGCGATTGTCAAACCTGTTTTCGTTCAAGGCCCTTGATAGGTATTCCTATTTAAGTAGGACATGCCGTCGATATTCAGCTGGTTCATGGCTTTGCTTCTTTTGACCTTTTTAGGATCGTTGGGTTTCTTTGTTCTTCTTCTGTGTCGTTTATAAGAACCGTTAGGTTTGTTTCGTACCAGTTTGAAATTTTGGCACTAAGAAGGATCGTTAGGTTTGTTGCTAGTTAAGTGCAGAAATTACCAGCGCAACGTTTGGCTACCAGCTGACGACATTCGTTGCATTGTAAGGCATTGGCACGCATCTGCAGTACATAACAGGAGTATCATCTGTGTTGTCGTCTTGCCTTAGTTTAGCAAAGGTTTTAGGATCTAGGTACAAACAGGATGCTTACATAAAAATCTAAATCATACAGATTATCGGTTACTATTTTGGCGGCCAGCAGTATAGTTTCCATGTAAATATGCTGGCTTGCTACCTTGCGAGGCTGTTTTGCGTCACAGCGGTCACGCTCCTAGTTGTCTTTAATGACTGTATGATTTCTAAATTTACCGCATAAATAGCGTATGCTTTAGAATTGATTTCCATGTTTTCTTTGCTATATTATTTCATGCTGGAATTTAACTAGACAAATCTATAGAGAAGTGAGAGAACTTCAACATATTTCTTATAAACAGTTACGATTGAAGGGAAGCAAATTGCAGTTGAATGTATTTTCCTGCAGTCCGTGACATTTTTGCTTGTAGAGATGCATGTGCAATTTTTATTCGTCGTTTCCAGAGATTGATGTCTTCGTCACTTTCCCACTCTATTTTTTTGATAACAGCAGTTACAATGTTAACTTCACAAAAGGTTACCATTTTCATCAAACCGTGTTATATAAGTGACCATACGGTAGTTAACTGCACAAATGTTTTCATGGAGTTGTGCATGAATTGCCATTAGTTTTCACGGCGCAGTGATCCCTCAGTGCAGTTGATATTTATTTCTATCCAATTATAGTCTTAGAATGATTTTTTGACCGCATGTTTAGTAGAAAAATTCTACTACGTGTTGATTAGTGAGTAATCATTAACTAATTGTATTTTGCACTTCTAATTTGTGCCAATTGTTATTCGCACTTATTTATGACAGTGACTGTCTTTCAGAGCTCATATAAGGATAGTTTTTGCCAGCCAGTAGTTTTCACTTAATATGGCAAGCGAAAAATATAAAAATTGTATCGAGATGGTGTTTTTACATTTCTAGTAACAGTCTGTTACTCCTTGTATAAGAGACCTAGATACTGGTGTTTACCTGTAGATATTTTTAACGTTAAGCCGTACTTTGCATTTTGCACTGCGTCAACACTGAAGATTTCTGATTATTGAAGTCACCTGCCGCTAACGAACTTTATGTCGGCTCGGTCGTCGCCTGCTCCTCAAAGAGCTGTTCAGCAACTACGACAGACTGCGAAAAGTCGGCGATTAGAAGCTGCTTCACGCATTGTTTCAGGCACGTTGAAGGCTGCTGAAGATCGACAAGAAGACGATGATACCAGTTAGCATAACAGCCTCGCAAGGTCATGACCTGTTCTGAACGAAACAGGCAGATAGCGCGATGCCATTATAGTGTATCACAAAAGACTCCACTAGAACGACTCCGCCAATGAGAGCTTACAGTCGAAAATTGGAATATATCCTCATTCAGAGGAAAGAGCAGGGAAAAGTTGATGAGGCCGCAAGAAACCAACTCGGCATAGATGGATTCTCGCCAGCGAAACGCCAGGAAGCTGGAATTTGAACCTCTTTGGGTTGAAGCTATTCTACTCACTGTCGACTCCACGATACGCTGGTGATGTGGTCAAATCTAGTTGGGCTGACAGAATCATTGAATGGAAGCTTTTCAGCGGAAGGGTGGCAATCATGCGACTGACGCTTCAACAGACTGATAGTTTGACCGTGTTCCAGGCCTATGCGCTCAATTTGGACTGAAAATCTGAGACTTCTGGAGGAAGTAGAAAGTACTGTGTATGAAGTTCCGACTAATGAATCTATTATTTCAATATCTGAACTCAGAGAAGCACGGCACCGAAAAGTGGAAAGGCTTGTTTGGAAAGAATGGCCCTAGCGGCCTCAAAAATGACGGCATAGAGTTGCTGTGGTTTTATACAAATGTGACTTTAATGAACGTTTTCTTAGAGCGTCGAAGTGCGCATCGGCGTACTTGGTACAGAGAATCTTGTACAGAAGTTGATAATTGATTTGATAATCCTCTCGCGTAATTTACGGTACTCGGTAATAGATGTTTGCGTTAAAAGAGGTGCATACCTGGCAGCTGATCATCTTCTTGTTTTGATGCTCGAATATAAACGATGGAGTGTCATGCGAACGCCTGGCTGCAGAGGCAACCAGTAAATCAAATGGGACCACTGTCTTCTACAGATTCGATGACGAAGCATGCCGACCAAACCGCACCGCAGTTTTAATTGATTCCATTGATGACGACCGACGTGAAGATTGAATGGAAGCTGTTTAGGAGTTGGATACTCCGGAATGCCGCAGAATGCTGCAGTTTGAAACGAGTTGGCCTGCTGCCTAGAAGTCAGAAACTGGTGGACTCCAGCAATTTAATTGACTGTCTGCTAAAAGTAGACTTCATTTAAGAAGTGGCTTGGAAGTAGGGAGTGTTTAAACTAGAATGCTACACGAAGAAGTGCGCAAGGCAGCATCGAAAGCAGTGGCGAAAGCAAAAGCTATTTCTGATCGATTATTTTGTTAGCGCGCTGTTGGCCATGTTCGTAGTTTCTGAAAATTGCATATGTAGTAGACATAGTTGTGGTTTTAATTCAGATGAAATATTTAGTGAAGAGAATTCGAGGTCTTGGTCACGACGTCCTCGTCATAGCAGAATGGCACTCACCGACAAGAAGGAGGATCACTCTGATAAGATGGTGTACATCAGCAATATTCCATACGACATTCGTTGGACGGAACTGAAAGACCTGATACGCGAAAAGGCGGGTGATGTTTCTTTCGTTGAAATGATTGAAACGGCTGAGGGAAAATCGAAGGGATGCGCGTAATTCTTTTCTGCAGCCTGTTCTGTTCAAACGCCAATTTATTTATAGAGTCGTTGAGTTCAAAGACCGTGAAAGTATCAAAAAGTGCGTAGAACAAATGCATCGCATGCAAATTAAAGATCGTTTCATTGTTGTGAAAGAAATTAAAGTAAGTTCAGACATATAAGTGGTGCAGTAAATGTTAACAGCTCTTCCTTTTTTAGGAGCCTGAAAAGTTTTTCAAAACAGTGAAAGAAGAAACCGGCGTTGATTTTTTGGCTAATAAAAGCGGACCGAAGAGTTTAATGGAACTCAGCGTTAAGCCCGTTGGCACTGATATGGGATTGAGTCCATTTCCAACTTATGGACTCAGCATTCAATTTCTTAAGCAGCTTGGAGTCGAAGGTCCCCTATGCAGCCGTGTATTTGTTGCGAATGTAGGTCACGCGACCGACGGTTATTTTCATTCTTTGAAATTTCAAAATTCTAGGCGGGTATCTGACAAAGGGTATTAATTGCTGGTTCCGTTGCGTGTATGATTGTTCTCAATGTAGAGTGAAAATTTGTTCTATTATATGGCAAGTCATTTGGCATCTAGGGAGCTCTTTCATTTTCTTAAAATGACATTATTGCGGTTCTTTGATGACATTCTAGCGGTTATTCTTCACAGAGCAATAACAGTGGTACAGCTGATCCAGAAGTCTCTTGTATCTAGAAAATTTGTTGCATTGATTTCTTTCTCATTATAGAGTTAATCGATTCCGACAAGTGTTATGACGTCTTTGACTATACAGTATTAACAGTATGGCATTAGTCATGTTATCTTTCTTATTCATGTAGTTTTTGCACACGTTTGACAGATTTATTAAGGAGTTACTTATTAAGTAGTAGGTGTAAATCGATCTGACGTTTCATTTTTGTTTTTTCTAAAATATTTTAAGAACCATGGTGGCTTTTTCAGTAAGTTGTGGTTATATTTGTATATTTTAAATACGCGCTATTTTGATTCTATCGTTTAATATGGGATTGTTTCTAATGAGACAGTTCCAAAATCACTTTGCGAGAAATCGTTTAAACTGTACTCTGTTTCGTTTGCAAAATAACGTGTGTTCTTTACATTTGATCAGTTCCTGCTGTTTCAAGGTTATCGTTTTAGTTGCCATTTAATGTTGGTCCCTCCAAACTGAAAGAATTGTTTTCGTTGTCTGGCCAAGTGGTGGATGTGGATCTGCATCTGGACAAGGATGGAAGGAGCAAAGGTTTGGCTGTAATCGAATATTCCCATCCGATCGAGGCGATACAAGCGATTTCATTGTTTCATAACCAAACATACTATGATCGAACTCTTACCGTTAAAATGGTAATCATTTGACTAAAATATAGCTTCTCTTCTTTTCGCATATTTATGTTTTGAATAATGTCACTGAAACAGTTTTAGTGTATGGTAATGTTCCGTTTGTGATCGTTAAGTCTTATTTTGTAACTTGTTTTCGCAAATTTGCCAGCATGATAATAACAATATGATATTAGTGCGGAGGCATATTTTTTCAGCTGATACCAGTTTCATGCAAGTATTGTAAGATCACCTGTTCGATGTCATTACCCTGATTTTCATGTGTTTGTCATCATCGTGTCATGAAGTCTTTCACTGGAAGCGGTATCTCTTTTGACCTTGTGCTGCCATCATTTTTGTTTTCCTCTAGAATATCGTGTACTGTATTTTGGCTAACAGGAAGGCTGCCGTTTGGTAAGTGCAAGTTGCATAGGTATTTTCAGATTTGTAGCGAACGGTATGTTTCAGTTAACAGTCTTGCACCATACCATTGTTGAGCGTCGTTTCAACCCTGCTGCATTCTGCTCAGTTGTGATTTTTTGTTATTTCATTGCATTATGCTTTGGGGCTCCGTAGAGCGGCTTTGATTTGACAGATTCGATGCGCAATCATATTTCTTTCGAAATTATTTGGTATAGTTAGATTTTTCAGTTAGTCACTGAAGGTCGTCAGCCGCAAAAGAAATTCTGCCTAAATCTTATTTTCGATGTATTTCAAATGGTTGACCTAGTAGATAGTTGTGGTTTAATCCTCAACGCCCGATGGTCGGTTGCTGCTGAATCAGAAATTATAGTAAGGCCAGCTTTCGCTGTATTATTCTGAGTGAAAGCGTCTGGTCGTCAGAACTATTTTTGGCAATTCTATATAGGGGAATATTCGTGACAAATCCAACTTCGCGCCCATGGCATATGACAAGCAGCTATCAAGGAACGGGATATCATTTAAGGGCAAGTTGCAATTAACCATCCACAGCTTTACCCTCCCTTTTTATCTTTACCGTGGTGAGTGAAAACGATCGTAAAGTGGGATCGATAATAAACCAGCGAATAAAACTACATTCGACACAAAAATGGAAATATTGAAAAAAATTTAGAAGAGATGAGAACGCAGTATTCGCTGCATTTTGTCTCCAGGCATTCACCATATTGACAGTCAAGAAACTGAAAAGTCTACAGCTGCAGAGCCTATGATGTCTGTTAGTACAAGCTACAGCAGTTGCGATAGAAAAGTTAAATAGTCTATACTTTTAGCCAGATAACGCTTTTCCTACA